CTTTCTTTCTTTCTTTCTTTCTTTCTTTCTTTCTTTCTTTCTTTCTTCCTTCCTTCCTTCCTTCCTTCCTTCCTCTCTTCCTCTCTCTTTCCTTCCTTTCTCTTCTTTCCTCCCTTTTTTCTTTCCTTTTTGTTACTTTAACAAGCATTTATTTTTTTCTCCCTCCTACTTCCCCTCCCCACCATTGAAAAATTGAAAATAAATGGAAAACAAAACCCTTGTTGACAAATATGCAATCAAGTGAGACAAATTCCCACATTGACCATGCCTAAAAATGTATGTCTCTTTCTATAGAATTAAACTTTCCATTGTTTCTTGATTCCTTCACTGCCTCCAACCTTTATTTTTAATCTGGTCCCAAGTATTCAGCAATTTAAATCAACAAATTTTTTTTAAAGTATAGACTATTCACAGCACTCTGTGCTTTACATTGTATATATAAAAATTAAAAGCAATAGTTCCTGCCTTCATGGAGCTTGTGATCTAACAGGAAGGATATGACATGGACAGAAATAAATAAGACACAAGGTTGAATGTGATGGGTAAAGATGTGATCCAAACAAAATGCTCCAGGAAGATTTTAGCAGAGAAGAGAGTGTTTTACACTCTCTCTAAAGGTAGGGAGAAAGGTAAGAGAAGGGACTTCCTTGGTACAGAAAGATCACTGACTCTGAAGACAAAGGGCCTTGGTTCAGGTTGTGCCTTTGATACATAACTACTGTTATCACCTTGGACATGTCCCTGAACCTCTTTGGGCCTCATTTCTCTCATCTGTAAAATGAAGGGATTGTACAAGATGGTTTCTGAGGACCCTTCCAGGTCTATATCTATGCCCTAAATGCCACCTCATCAAGGTCATTCTCAGAGAAGGGAGATTTCATAAAGTTTCCATGAGCTATGGTTTTTTTCAAGCTATAGGTTGAGTGAGAATCTCCACAGTCAACGGCCAGCATTGGTTGGTATGGACTGGAGGTCTCATCCCCAGAGCTCGTTCATGTGGCTTGAGTTGTCCCAAGTGTTGCTGGAGGCAGGAGTGGATGACGGGAAAGGAGAGGAGATGAGCAGCTGAGAAGGCTGGCTGTCTGGGGGTCTTCTGGGAGGCTGACTCTCAGGCAGACCCCTATCCGCCCTGTAGGTGCAGCTCAGAGAATGAGCCGACAGCGGTCCAGAGAGCCGCCACTCGTCACGCAGAAATGGCGGAGCAGCTGAAGGAGCTGAACTCACTGCTGCAGTCCAAGGAGCACCGGGCCCGAATGGAAGGCATCACACTCCTCCTCGCGCACTGCAAGAACAGCCAACATTTCATCACCACCAACCTAACGCAGGTGAGTGTACGAGGGGATGTGGCGAGTGTGCAGAGAAGGCCAGCTGGGGTTCTTCATTGTTGCCACGCTCATTCTGTCGGTAAACTCACTAAAAAATGAATGCCTTTAAAGACGCTGCCCCCACCCCCACTTTGGCCTTCCTGGCTCTGCAACTGCCTCTGTTGCTTTGAAGTGACTTTAGACAAGCTCTCCTGACTAGTGCATCTCTCTACTTTGAGATGTCTCAGGGGCCATAATGGCCACCTGAGGGTAGGAAGGTAAATCTCAGAGATCCTACCCTTGTCTGAGAAAGAATCCTCTCTTACAGCATCCCTGGCAAGGGGTCACGCAGTTTTTACTTGAAAGACCTCTAGGGATGGAGAGTTCACTATTGCCCAAGACTTAGCATTTTACTTTGGGCATTTCTCATTGTTTGGAAGTTTTGGACAGATAACAGTTAGGTGATCCCTCAGGTCCTTTATCACTCTGCTTCGCATGATTTATGGACGTTTTGTCTCATTTTTAATATGGCCACCTTGAACATAAAGGAACTTAAGTTTTAGAGGATTTATCAACCCAGGCATGACCACATAGGTAGCAGCAGGACTGATGGCAGTGATAGCTCACATTTGTATGGTATTCTATGTCTCCAAAGCTCCTTCCCATCAATTTTTTAAAAAAATTTGAACCTTACAACAAACCTGGGAGGTAGGAAGGGCAGGTTTATTTCCATTTGGCAGACAAGGATACTGAGATTTAGGGTACTTGCCCAGGGTCACACAATTGCAGAGTTGGGACTCAACACTAGTCCTGTGCCTCTCAGTCCAGTGTATTTTGCATTGCTCCACTGCCTGAAAGCCAGACATCCTCACTCCCAAGCCTTCTGATTCACTGTTGTGTGTCTCTGTGTTTGGACAAGAGAGAAGTTGGTTATCTTGCTCTTTTTAGTGTTTGACATTGTGCTATCCTGTGTGTGGCAGGCGATAAACGTTGATTCGTGCGGGTGTGTGGATGAGGAATATGCATTATTTACTCCTAAAATAATAGATCTGGAAAGGCACCTTAGAGGCCATCTCCTTCAATGGCGTCAAACTCCTGGCCCTCAGGTTTCATGAGGCCCATAAAAAATGCCTGAGTGTGGCCAAAACCAGTTTAAAATATAATTGGGAAATGTTTATCAAAATAAATAATACAATAAAACTTACATGATGTTAAGTTGTGGTTTTCTAAGTCAATATCCCTGTAGGGATTTCTATTTGAGTTTAATACTTTTGAGAGTCCAACCCCTTCATTTTACGTATAAGGAAACTGAAGCTCAGAAAGGCTAGGTGATTTGTCCAAGGTTGCATAGAGCCAAGATCTGAACCCATGTCTTCTGAGTCAAGTCCATCCTTTTTTTTTTTTTTTAGGCAATTGGGATTAAGTGACTTGCCCAGGGTCACACAGCTAGTAAGTGTCAAGTGTTTGGTCTGAGGCCGAATTTGAACTCAGGTCCTCCTGACTTCAGGGCCGGTGCTCTATCCACTGCAGCCTTCTTTCTACCATGCCATACTGCCTCGGAAATAAATGTCTTCAGTGTCTCTTGATAATGAACGTGGAGTTTAGAGCTTGCTACGCCTCACATGGCATGCACAGGTCATTTGCTGACCACCTCATCACTTCTTTCTTCTTCATCCTCCCTGCCTGACGAGCAGGGACCTCTATAGAGTCTTTGTTTTTCCTTCCTCTCTTCTCAGATCTTTGATGCGTTCATTCCAAGGCTCCAGGATCCCAACAAGAAAGTGAACCAGTGTGCCTTAGAGGTCTTCACAGAAATGATCCCTCACCTCAAAGATAACTTACACCCAGTGCTGGTTTCCGTGGTCACTGCGGTCTCAGATAACCTCAACTCAAAGAGTTCTCCCATTTATGGAGCTGCCGTGATGGCTCTGGATGCCATGATTGAGAACATAGGTGAGACGCCTTCCCCTAGCTCTGAGACAGCTTCTTTTTCTCCCAAAGCTCCTTGGAGGTGTGGCTTGTTTTGGTCCCTAACTGTGACCTCATGGGTGTAGGAAATGATTCCCTCTATACCAATGCAATGAGCCCTTGCTTTGCAATTTACTGTCTTAGAGATTTGTCTAGGGCCTTGAGGAATTAAGTGACTTACCTAGGATCACTTAACTAGCATGTGGTCAAGGCAAGATTTAAACCCAATTTCTGACATGGAAGCTGACTGTTTATCCATTAACTACTCTTCCTTAAAATAGCTGAAAATCTCAAAAACCACTTTTTCTGCTTACTAATCAGAAGATACTGGTTGATTCTCAGATCAATTGTTTCTAAGCAAGCCTTGATTTTTAGCATGGTGTAAGGAGTATACCTAATCTAGGATCTGTGAACTTGTTTTTTTTTTTTTTTTTTTCCAAAATATGTTTTTATAACTCTCCTTTATAATCCTAAGCATTTTATATTGTCTGTTGCAAACCATTATTCAGAGGAGGGATCCGTAGGCTTCCTAGGGCTATGAAAGGGACCATGACACAAAAAAGGTTAGGAACACGTGTCATAGAGGGAGGAGAACAAGGCTAGGACTCTGAAGACCTGGGAATTGGTCCTCCCTCTGCTTCTGGGAAGCTGGGTGACCCGGGCCAAGACACTTCTCTGCCAACCTTCCCTCTCCTCACCTGGAAAATGAGGGGATTGCAGTAGGTGATTCTTAAGACTCCTTCTAGCTCTGATAACCTTGACGAGTCAGTGAGGTCTGGTAACTTGAGTCCTGGGAACACTGCTGTACTGAGCCTGACTTGTGATCCCAAGAGGTAGCTCATGAAGCAAGTGTAGGCCAGCCTAGACAGCCTATGGCCTTGGGGCTGTTGATGGATCAGTCATGGATCATGACAGGCTTTTAAAGCTTGGAGAGACCTCACAGGCCATCCAGTTTAATGCCTTCATTATACAGATGAGGGGGTGCTTGGGAGTGGGGGCATTTGTTGGGAGAGCTGAATGCCCGTATTTATGAAGGTCCCGCTATATGCCAGACACTGTGGGTTCAAAGACTAAACTGAAACAGTCCCTGTCCTCATGAATCTTACATTCTCTCTGAGGGGGAAAACATGTACATTATTGTTAATAATTATTATTACTAATAAAAATTACTATTAATAATAGCTAGCATTGAGTAACACATTTGAGGTTTACAAAGGGCTTTAAAAATATTATTTCATTTGATCCTCACAACAACCCTGGATAGCTATTGCTATCCCCTTTTGACAGATGAGGAAATTGAAGCAAACAAAGGTTAAGTGACTTATCCAGGGTCACACATCTAGAAAGTATCTGAGGTCACATTTGAACTCAGGTCTTTCAGACTCCAGGTCAGAGTGCTGTATCTGTAATACCACTTAGCTGCCTCAAGATGCATATGAAATAAATCCAAGGTAAATATGAGGATCGGGATGATGTCACAAGGGCAGGGAGAAGCATCTGGAGAAGTCAGGAAAAACTTCATGTAGAAGGTGGTGCTTGAACAGTTTTAAAGGAAACAAAAATTATTCTAACCCCCCTTCTCCTCCCCCTGCCTTTTCTTTTGTCTCCTCCTTTTTCTACTTTCTTATTTCCTTTCTTTTTCTGCTTTTTTCCTCTATTGCCTGGAACTCAGGCCTACTAGTGTTACTTAGTATGTACGTTTGTATGTACATGTATGCATGTATGTCTATAACTCAGACTCTGGCGTCTCCACTCTGTGACCACGTTCATCTCTCTGTTTCCTCATCAGTAAAGTGGGGACCATAATCCCAGCCTCATTTACCTCCCAGGATAGCTGTAAGCATCAAATGAGATTGTGGATATGAAATGCTTCATACACTATAAAGCTTAATATAAATCTAAGTTATTACAATTACTTTTGCTAACAGTAACGCTGCATGTAATGTTAAGAGTCAGATGATGTGTTGGTTAGTTTTGCTAACCTATTTTCTTTCCCTTTTTTTATTCTTTGTTATAAGGGATGCCTCTCTAGGGTTTGGGGGTAGGGAGGGAAAGATGTATTGGGAAATCTAGGTGATGTAGTAATATTTTTTAAAATGAGAGCATTGAACCAGGGTAGGGTTTCTTCACCTTTTTTTGTGTCCTGGACCCCTTTGACAGTCCAATAAGGCCTCTGGACCCCTCCTCACTAATGTTTTCAAATGCATAAAACAGAAGCATTACAAGGGAAACCAAAGTTTAAGAAAAAATAAAGATGCCACTTTTTTCCCCATCTAAGTCCATGGACCCCCTGAAATCTATCCACAGACCCCTTGGGAGTCTGTGAATGCCAGGTTAAGGTCCCTTGGACTAGATGCCCTCCAAGACCCCTCTAGCTCCAACATTGTCTGATTTTATGAGGATTCTGGGGCAGTTTGGAGGTGGTGGTGCAGCTTTTCAGCTTTCTCATAGGAAGGTGTGGGGTCTAGAGGAAGGAGTCCTGGCTTACAGGCTCCTTCTTCCACCTCACTGGATGACCTTTGGGCAAATCTCTTAACTTCTCTGGTCCTTAGTTTCTTCTTCTGGAAAATGCAGTGGTGATGGACTAGATTATATTTAATACCCCCCACCCCCACCCCCAGCTCTGATTTAATGGTCCTGCGACTGCCTCCTGTCCTGGAATTCGGTTCTCTGCCCCTGTGCCTCTTCCTCACAAAAAAACCTGCTGTCACAACTTGGGTTAGATATAAATGTATTGTCTTCACATCTACACCTGTTCAGCAATGCTGGGAGGTGTTGTGTGTTGTTGAACCAAAGCCTGGTCCTGCCCTCGAGGAAGCTACATTTCACTGGGGAGCCAATTAGTCAAGCATGATGGGATCCTCACTGGCTCGCAGGATTTAGAGCTGGCAGGGAGGGGTCTTAGAGAGCACCTCGTTTTACTAAGCTAAGCTAAGACCCACAAACGGTAAGGGACTTACCCAAGGTCACACAACTAGCTGGTGGCAGAGCCAGAGACCAGTGTTAGCTGCCCTGCCCTCCAGGTAAAGGCCTCAGAAGTCTGATGGAACCAGTTGTGTGCAATCACAAGAGCCCTTTGAGACCATCATGTATCTGTATGCATGCCTGTCTGTCTGTGTATAAATGTATATATACACATACATATATAGTGCTATCTTTTGTTTTTACATCATCTACTTTTCCCAATATATCATAGAGCAATTACTTATAACAAAGAGCTTTTTTTTTTGTTTTTGTTTTTTTTTTTCTGCTAGGCAATCGGGGTTAAGTGACTTGCCCAGAGTCACACAGCTAGTAAGTGTTATGTGTCTGAGGCCAGATTTGTGACTCCAGGGCTGGTGCTCTATCCATTGTGCCACATAGCTGCCCCTACAAAGAGCTTTTAAAATGAGAAAAAAAAAAGTTCAGAAAAAGTAACCAACATATCAAAAGCAAGATTCCACACCCATTTCCCTGTACTCCTACAAAGAGGGTAGGGGAGGTGCATTTTTTCTTTAAAAAATTTTTATTAGCTTTTCCATATATATGAAAGAACATAAAAATAGGATTGTATATGATATCACAAATCTCTGTTATGTATATTTTTCATTTTTTTAAAAGACAAAATATATTCTCCTGGGAAGCTAGGTGGTGCAGTAGACAGAGGGCTAGGCCTGGGGTCAGGAAGACTCCTCTTCCTAAGTTCAAATCTGGCCTCAAACACTTATTAGCTGTGTGACCCTGGGCAAGTCACTTTATCCTATTTGCCTTTATTTCCTCATCTGTAAAATGAGCTGGAGAAGGAAATGGCAAACCACTCCAGTATCTTTGCCAAGAAAACCCCAAATGGGGCCACAAAGAGTCAGACACGATTGAAAACAACTGAACAACAACAAAAAACATTCTGCATGTTAGCTGCAAAGCTGTCCTGCTCATCTGAATAGGTCGTTATAATTTAACAGTGGTCAGTTTCAATTATTTTGCCATTGTGGTTCTTCCAGTTACACTGGGCCAGTCATTGTGTATGTTGTTTTCCTGGTTTTGCTTGCCTTCCCTTGCAGTCTCCCCCATTTCTCAGTATTCGTCATCATCAGTTCTCACAGTGCAGTAATATTCCATCACGTTCATGCACTGCAGTTTGATTAGCCATTCCCCAATGAATGGGCATCTGATTTGTTCTTTGCTACTATAGAAAGTGTTGCGATAACATTTTGGTGGATGTGGAAACTTTCTTTTTGTCACTAACCTCAGTGTCATACCTAGCAGTTCAACTCCCTCCTTTTACAGATATAAAGAAACTGAGCCAGAGAAATAGAATTCCTTTCCCCAGGTCATTGGGGATATTTACTGGCAGAGTTAGCTCAGGCTCCCAGGACCCCCAGCCCAGCTTCCTTCCCCCTCTTATTTCAGTTTTGTCTGTCTTTCTGCTGCTCACTGTCTTCTCTCTGCCTTGCCTGTGTGTGCACGTTCTGAATCCAAGGCACCTAACCAGCATTTACCAGGTGCCTCGTGTTGTTACTACGAATCAGAGAGATACAAAGGAAAAACACAATCCTTGCCCACAAGAAACCTAGCTGTCCATGTGAAGGGCTTTAAAGGTCAAACAGAGGAGTCTATAGTTGATTCTAAAGGGCAGTAGTGGAAAGCATCTTGACTGGGGAAATGAAATGGTCAAACCCTCCCTTTAGAAGGAATCAGTACATTCCTAGTACATGTTCTAGAACTACAGTGAGGGGATGGATGAAATGTGAGATATAGTCCATGCTCCTTAGGTTGCATGCAGTTTTGCTAGATAGGAAAAGATGGATACTTCATCTACAATCTTACTTTTTACAAGAAGCCTTTCCCTATCCCCCTTAATTGCTAATACCTTCCTTCTGAAGATTCTTTCCAGTTTATCTTGTCTATAGTTCATGCTTAGTTTTTTGCATATAACAGGCAGGTTGGTGGCTCAAAAGATAGAGTCTGGACCTGGAGTCAGGAAGACCTGAATTCAAATGCAGCCT